TTTCAATTGAGTTGCAACTTAATTGCGCTATAAGGAAATTTAATTGCGCCACAAGTTGCAACTCAATTGCGCCATTTGTTTTTAATTGCAGTGACCATCTTTAGATACTACATAATATAAATTTTTATTTTTCTTTTTTTAACTTCTTTTTTTAAATTATAATATAAGCAAACTTTATTTATTTTATTTTATAATATTAAATTTATTGAATATAAATTTTTTTTTTTTATTTTTTTTTTTATTCTTTTATTTTTTATCTTTTTTTATTTTTATTTTTAATTTTATTTTCATTTAAAATTTATTGTATTAAATTTTTTATTTTTTATTTTTCATTCATTTTAATTATATTTTTTCAACTTCAAAATAAAGTAATATTTAAATTTATTTGAATAACTAGTTAGTTTTTATTTATTATTCTTATTATTTATTCTTTAATTTAATTAAAAATTATAATTATTTAACTTTTATAGATAATAGACTATATTTTTTAAATTTTAATTATAGTAAAAAAAAAATAATTAATTTTTTTTATTATAATAATTTATTCAAAGCAACTAAAAATAATAAATTAAAAAACAGTTAAAACAAAATTATATTAATTAGTCTAAAACATTAGAATTGTTAATAATAATCCATATGCATCACTAAATGATTATACTAATTAGGATTACCAATGATTATAAATATCCTATAATATTGTCTTAGTAAAGGGATAAGTTTCTATCATATAGTTAAATAAAGTCTAAACATAAGGACATAAAACTTATCTCTTTACTAATATCTATTTTCTTAAATATAAATCATCAATAAAGATGATATAACCCTTTAACTTAATTTAATTCATATTTATTTCTTTCGTAATTTATAACTTAAACTCACTGTTAGTAAATAAGCTTTGTTATTCTAATAATGTAATATTTAGACTTAATAATATAAGACTATATAATACTAAGTAAAGTAAAAAATGTTCAAATGTTTGCTAGCTTACGTTTGAGTCAATCAATGTAATTAATTTCTATTATTATATAATAATTTAAATAAATAAAAACACACAATAGTTTTATTTATAAATAGTTAATATTGTTTTTTTATTTAAAATTATATATTGCTAAAAAAATTCATGTACCGAGAAAATTATTTACAGTTAAAAAAATAAAATTTTATTTTCTTAAAAATAAGTGCTTTTCTTTAGTCTTTCTTTCTTATAATCTTTTGCAGCTTTAAATATGTTGAAGTCTTTCAAAAATAAACTGCTTAAAATAAATATTTTTAAGTAAACAAACTCTTAACATAAAAATAAATAAAAACTAGCAGTAAATTCCTTAAAACTAAAAATATAACATCCTAAATTTATTTTTTTAGATGTGTTTAATAAGAATAATCAATACAACTTTGTCTCTTTCTAGTGTTATAAAGTTAGGATCTTTGTAAAAATCAAAGTTTACAAAAACTGCTGCTAAAAGTGAAAGTAGTTTATTTTTTACAAATACAATATCATGTATAATTCCCATTGACCTATTGACTAACTTACCTTCAGTTTATAAATTAGCAATCAGCATAACATATACATCTTTAACTAGTAATAATTGTGATTTAAGTTCTTTTATAATGTTAGAACTTGCTTTTTAGCCTCATAACCTTCAATATGAATCACAAGAATTTTGGCTATTAGATGGTTCAAAAATCTAAGTATATTAATATTGACTCTATTTATATCATCTTAAATAGTATAATAAATATAAAATTTAAAAATCTATTATATTTTATACTGATTAATTTACATTCAAAATGTCTGCTGAATTTCTTACAATCTTCTAGATTGCAATTTCCATTTCTTAATCTTAAAGAATTTCTCTAAAGCTCTTTTGCTCTTCAGAATCATTTAATTGCTATTAAATTATATTTAATTTATACACTTTTTAGAAATTTTTATATAATAATATATTATTATTTGAAATTATATTATTAAATATTTTGTTAGCATATATAGAAAGGTCTAACACTAGCAAAAGCTGATCAAAATCATCATATAAGATGATGGACTATCCACTGAAAGATATATTTTATTTTTAGAAAATGTCTCTTTTAATTTTTTATCAACTAAAGTGAACATTTTCTTTCTACTATACTTTTCTCATCTTTAATAAAGTAAATTATATCTTTTAATCTTTTTTGTAATTGCTTAAACTTGTTACTATTTAAATCTGATGAACATTTATTATTTAATATTGGTATTAATAATGTTAAATGTATATTGAATTACTAATATTATAATAGCAATCCTTATAGGTACAATCACTTTTACTAGTACTTTTAATCATTATTTTTCATCATATTTAGCCTTCTTCATATTGCTATAATAAGATATAATTTTTCTGTATCTGCAGTATCATAATCATAATTCTTAATAATTCAACTGAATTGCTTATGAATATATTTTGTAATATATTTTTATTTGATAGTAAATTATTTTAAACTCTCATAATCAATTAAATAATCTTTATCTTGATCATTTATAAAATTATTTGAAGCTTTATTAATAAAGTTACTTGCTTTTTTAATATTAACAGAGAAATATCATTATTAAGTATTATTTATTCAATTAAAGTTTTTGAAAACTTAAATCTAATAAGTATTCTATATTCGTATTTAGTCTTATTTGACAAGATGCATCTAATTATATCTAAATTCTACTTTCACATTATCTTTGATCAGTTTATATTTACTTTCTTCATCTAAAATCTCTTTTTCATTATTAATATATAGTTTAAATAAATCAATCAGATCACTATTAATCATATTAAAATATTGATTATAAAGTAATAATCAAGAGATATTGTCATTTTCTTTGAGTTGATAAAGATTTTGATGCTAAATATGAAGTAAAATCTTTACATAATAAAATTCTTTCTATTAGTCTTTATTTTAAATAGATAATAATCATAGCTATATGTAAATAATGTTTTTCTTTTCATATTTTTTCAAGTTTTTTTAACTAATTTATATATTAAATGCAGTTAAATAATGAAAATTCTTCAAACTACTCAAGTCTATTTCAGTATCAATTTAAGACTAATTGTGTTATATACTCTTTCTTTCTATTATATCTACTTTTTAAGCTCTGAACCCATCTTACTAATTCTTTATTGACATTTAGAATCTTTGCTGAAATTCCTGATTTAGCAATTTTAATACTACTAAGTATATAACTATTATATGACTATATAGTTGATTAGTAGTTATATTTTTATTAGAATTTTTATATTATTTCTTTGTATTAACTATATAAACACAATGAATTTTCTTTGTAATTTTAAATTTTATATTAACTTAATTTTTTAACGATCTATTTTTTTATCGTAATATTTTAATTAATTATATTTTATTGATTTTTATAGATTTTTTATAGATTCTTTTTTATTAACGTATTATTTTTTTAATATAATAAATTTTTTTAAGTTATGTAATATTTTTTGTATTTTTTTGTGTTTTTATTGTTATATTTTTTTAATTTGTATCTTTATTTTTTTTATATTTTCAATTTTTATTGTATTTTGCAAATGCAAAAATATTCTTACCAGTCTAAATACAAAAAAACTCATCAATTTGCTCTCTTGATGTTAAAAATGATTCCTTATTTATTCTTCATTCGTTTCTATCACTTTTCACTTTGTGTATTCTTTTTTAATTTTTTTTTCAGAAATAAATTTTTTGAGTTTAATATGCTAAGAAATAACAAGTCAATTATACCAAAAATTTTATGAAATCTAAACTATACCTGTAGTAAAATCTTTAAAACTAAAGTAGTTTTGTGAAAGTCTAAATGATCAACAAACTCAATAACAAATTTTTTTATAATAGATAATAGAATTAGAATAATCAAAATTAAGATATCTTAGATATTAAAAATATAATATAAAATAAAATTAATAAAGAAGTAAATAAAGTGATAATTAAGAACTATAAATAAAATATAATTTTTTGATATTTTTAAAGTTTGCAAACAATAAAAATTAATTTTTTTAATATTTTTTAAAGTTTGCAAATAATATAATATTAAGTAATATTTTGCATAGAATAAAAAAAGAATTATTATTACAAAAAGAAATATAAAACTATTAATTGAATTAGGATGAGGAGTATTTAAATTATTTTAACTAACAGGATTAAACTACTATCAAATTCATTTGTATTAGAATTTTTACTATTTTATTTCTTTGATATTCTGCTCTGTATTATAATGAAAATTTCGAAGCAATGTTTTTACCAGATCTACTTGACACTTTATAATATATTATAATTTCATCAAGCACTTTAATAGCTTCAATATTATAATTTGTATAATATATTCTGAATATCTTTCTAATCAATAATACAAGCTATTCCATAGTATTACATTTTTTAAGTTTAATTCTGTTAGTATCCTTTAAATATCTATGTAGTATTTCTCAACAACTTTTTGAAAAATAAATTCATTGATATCTGAATTTATTAACGTAGTTATATTAAGCTCTTCTCTTAATCATATTTCCTTTAATTCACTGACCTTTGTTGCAAATTTTTATTGAATTTACTGCAATAATCTAATAAAGTATGTTTAGAGTGGCTAATGACCTCTTTAGCATTATTAGTAAAAAAGTCATAATCAAATATATTCTTTACAAGTTCTTCAATAGTTTTATCTAATAGTACCCTATATTCAAGAAAAAAACATTTGATTTCTTCACCTTAAAGTTGTGTTTGTACTTTTTCTTCATCCATTATAATCTTAGATTTTTCAATTTCAGCTGATTCATTTATAAAAGGTAAATTTAATAATATACTTAAAGCAGAATATATCTGATTTGCCATTATTAATATCTTTAGTCTTTCTATTATAAAAGCATTTGTCATTTTCCTAAATGTTTCAGGATTTTTCTAAAATAAATCAAATCATATGAAAGTTAATAAGAGCATAAAGCTAATAACAAATTTTGATGACAATTACTTGATATTTTGCTAGAATATTTAATAACTTTCTTATCATTATTATTGAGAATTTCATAGATGTCATTATTTCTTTGTCTTTTATTAGCTTTTGTTATTTTTTCGTAGTGAATGTATAAATATATTATATAAACTTAAAGCTATACTATACAAATTAATGAAATAATATATTTATATTTACCAACTTCTTCATTTTCACTATCTATTAATTATAACAAATCAGTGATTCTAGTTCATCTAGTCCTTTTTATAAACTGATTGTTTTTTATATGATTTTTAATAGGTATATATGTTAACATATTGCTAGTACCATTAAAATAAATAGAGTCATTATCAAATCTTATTTGAAAATTCTTTTCCGATTATAATAATAATAAAAAAATTAGTTTAAAATTAATTTCAAAGAAAACACTTTTCTTAAATAATTCACAAAATTCTTACTTATAAAATCATCATATTCATTATAATTATTATAATTAAGATCATTATTATTATGATCATTATCATCATTATTATAACTGTCATTATCATTATTATTCTCATTCTTATTATACATTAAACTTGCTGGTAATCTAGCTAGTTCTTTTCCTATTTTATAACCTTTTAATTATAAAAATTATTTGCTTTTAAATGTTGGATAGTTATAATAAATAATTCACTATATTGCTTACTTGCAATATAATGATCATTATCACTATTTTTAATATTAATATTATCATTATTATCTTTATTCTCATTATCATTTTTAGGTATAGTTAAACTTTTAAACTAGTATTAAAATATTGTTTTGTATATAAAAATTTAAAATAATTAATAATTAAATTAATTAAATTACTAACCTGTAATAGGCGTAACAAAGGTAAGTTTTGTGATAATTTTTTTTCTACCATGACTGCGACTACTTCTTCTATGCTCTTCTAATTATAATATTAAATATTATTATATATTTTTTGAAGATTATTATAGATAATTTATTTATTTGTAATAGTATCATCGATAAGTATAATAGATTTATTTTTTATTATGATCTTTTCTCTACCACGACCATGATCATGACTATAACTATAATTATCTTTTTTACTATTATAACCTATTAAAAAAAATAAAAAATAAAATTACAGTAGATAAAATCAATTAAAACTTAAAAGTTTATTAATATTATCTATTATAACTACCCGTTTTTAATCTAAATAATAATCAAATTTGCTAACTTATTTTATCTTTTCATAATCATTATTAGTTAATTAAATAAAAAGTTATTTTTATAATTCATGTAAAAAAGATATTTATTATTTTAAATTATAATTTATTAATTATATTACCAGTATTACGCTTGGTTTATTTGTTTGGTTTAATTACCCATAAACTTAATGATTCTAAGAATATCAAAAAGTAAGATGCATGTTAATAAGCTTATTTGAAATTAGGATAAATTATATTATTCCTTTCAGTTTATTAAACCCATTCTTAACTACAGTAGCGGTCATAAGTATCCGACCGCTTCTAACTCCGGCTACAAGTAAGTAAATTCAAAATTTTTTTTTTATTT